TCCAGGGTGTGTGTGTGTGTCCTGTGATGGACTGGTGTCCTGTCCAGGGTGTAGCCCGCCTTGGACCTGTTTGGCAGGAGGGGCTCTGGATCCCCACGAACCCTGTATTGAAAACAGTGGTTAGAAAATAGATGGGTGGAATGAAAAAAACTGATGTGTAGTTCAATCAAAATTTCTCAAATGAATACCTCTGAAATACTTTAAGATTTGAACAGCCTGTCAGTTTATTTTGGGAAAGTCTTTTTTCCAATCCAATGGTCGAAATGAGTTTGTGTTTCCATTCAAACCTGATTTAATGGCACAGTCCAGTCTCCCATGAGCTCCTTTCCTAGAACACTAGGTGGCAGTGACGCTCTGTGATTCCCAGCTGGGCATCTGCAGTTTCCCTGTTGGTAGAGCTCCGGTCGGTGATTTTGTTGTTTTCTGGGCAGAGCTGTAGTATGATGAAAACCTTTCTGAGCTATGAAAGGAGACTTGTTTACGTTTCTTTAAGTTTAACTCCATCTTAAAAGTGGTTAGGTCCCTTCGAACTCCACAGCATGGTACTGAGATCTAAACCTGATGCACAGTGAGTGAAAGTATTAGTCATCACAGTTCTTTAAAGCCTGCGTTCCCACCAGCATTTTGTGTTTTGCACCCTGGCAGTGTATTTAAGTGTAAATGCGGTGGAGAGCCTTGGGGTGAGACAGGGGGTGCGGGATTCTCTCTCTGGCACTCCTGTTGTCAGCCATTGTACTGCAGGATGAAGGCTGTCCGATTATCTCCCTCCCTCGCTGCTCTATGGGCCTCCGTCCCTGACACTGGGATGGGAAGACAGGGGTGCGAAGCTCAGACCCTTTCCCACCTTTGGGCTCCCCTGCGCTGCGCCTGGCTGGCGTTACCAGCTCCCAGGCCAGGGCGGCCACAGCGGGGCCATTGTAGAGGCGGGCCCACTTCTCACAAGGCCCTCTTTGTGGCAGCGTCCCGGTCTACAGCCCCCTCCCCCCTCCAGCCCTTCCTGCAGCTCTGGGCCAGTGCCAGCTCTTCCTGACTCCCCCCAGGGAACGCCGAGACACTCGCACACTCACAGGGCTTGGGTGTAAATGGCAGTGCAAGTCAAAAACATCAGGGTGCGCTTTGGTGGTCGTCTGAAATGGGCGACTGAGTCTGATGCAAACATCCTGAAATCCCACCTCTTTGTTTTGGACCCATTTAGGTGAGCTAGCTAGCGAGTCACTGAGATCAGGCTCTAATAACTGCAGGCCCTGGGCTGAAACCTTATCTTTCACAGGATACAGGATTCCCTCTTTTCCAAACATTTATTTAAGGATGCACAACGTGTTAAAGGTCTAGTTTTCTAAAAGAGATGGAATTTCATCTAGGAGTCATGTTGATTGATTGCTGATGCTGCCGTATTGATTTTTTCCTATAGTACTAATTGTAATTAGCTTTAAACAGCAAGAGCAGACTGCTTAACTGAAGACAAATGTAGAGGGTTTTAGGCCAGGATCATCAGCAACGTGTCTGTATAGAATGAAACATGGTGTGGTCACAGCGTGCAGTCCCAGTCTGGTTCTGATCAGGGGGTTGGTTCTGGTGGTCAAATAAGGTCGTGCTGAACAAGAGAGATGATGGCACTTCTTCAGGCTTGCCAGCCCGGATGTGTGCCAGTCACAGTGGAGCAGTGCAGCAGTGGAGGCCGAGAGGTGTGGTGGCAGGGGACTGTGGGGGAAGAGCTATGGGCTGCAGCCAGAGCCTCTCAGGAATGACTCATCTCAACAGTGTCCTTTATACTGCTAGCCGTGTGACAGACGCTCTGTAGACACTTGGAATGCTTTTGTCTGGAGCCGCTGAAAGGGGGAGTATAAGTGAGAGGGGGGTGTGCTTAAGTAGTGACAGCAGAACTGAGAGAGAAATAGATAATGCACATTCTGTCTTCCATCTTCCCTAAAGCTGATTGAGTTCTCTACTCTCTGTTCTTTTTCCTACTTACCTCCCTTGTCCTTGGACAGAGCTATGTTGTTTATAGCCTGAAACATTGACTGTGTAGCTGTTCACTTGCTCGCGTGGCTGGATGGGAGTTCGGGCACTGAGCCACTGGCAGTGCACACATGAACGCCAGGACACTTCTGGGGGTCCTCAGCTATTGGACTGTGATGCCCTCCTCAGTGTCATTCTGCCCTGACCGCATTTCTGAGCCCTGCCTCCCTCTACCCCCTAATTCCACAGCAACTCTGCCACTAGCTTGATGTGTCCATTTGCTGTCCTCCAGCTCCTCACATGAACAAGTCGTTCTCCCGGGGAAAAAGGTCTTCAGCACTTCTGTGTTTCAGAGTTACACCCACACAACTTCTTTTTTAGTTCTGCTCCTCTGTTGGGCTCTCTGCGAGAGGAGAGCTGTGCTGTCTGACACTGACGTGCAACATTTCAGCTGTGTCCTCTCAAAAGCCAGCTCTTCACTGTGCCCCGCGCAGAGAGAGTGGGCTGATACACTCCTGACTACTGACAGCAAATCAGAGAGGCTTCATCTTCATCTGGCTCGAATCTGGGGGGAGGGGGGAGAGGCGACACAATGAATAAGAATTCCTTGCTTGTACATCATGCTTTTCGCCTCAAAGCCCCTCAAATGATCTGCTGCTGAAGTGCAGCCCTGGCTGGGTGATCCCCTGCAATCGCTGTTTCCTGATACCCCAACACCCCACTCAGGGGAGCAGGCGGAAAGGTGGTCAGTTGATTTAAAGGGTGTAGTTATGGAGACCAGGTTGAGCAGGCCCAGAATGGACTTTACATGGGAGACTGGGCTAAACACTCCATCTTTTACAAACAGCACTGTGTGATCTTTACTGAACATGTAGGCATCTCATCTGGAAGACCACACCTCCAGCAGCAGTGTTCCTGCATCCTGTCCCTAGACCATGGCTCGGAAAGTGTTAGTTGACCTTAATCACAGTATCTAATTGTTTGTTTTTGTTGAGGTTTAGAAAATCTGTGATCATAATGCTACTTAAGTTTCAGAACACTTGCTGGAAATCAGATTGATGTGCTATTCACTATTTTGCACCTCTCAAAAAAATACCTCATTAAGGTTTGTATTCATGTTTTGGACTGTTAATGTTGATAGCACACCTTAATCACATGGGTCACACCCTGCCACATGAAAACAAAACTAAGAACGCATAAACTATAAAATAAGCTTTATTCATTGAAATGCGTAACTGGAGTTCCTGCAGTATTGCTGGGAAGCATCAATCTTCTGCTGGTGTTGTTGTAGTTAGAATTACAAATGCAAAAACAAATAAAAAAAAACTACATCTGGTGAATGGTGACCAGGAACCGTGGGAGAGTTCAAAGGAAGCCTGTCTGCTCGAGTCAACAAGCCAATATCTCTGGTGAACCTGCATCCCACCGACCCCACGTTGCTTGAGGTTTATTTTTAAGTTGCACCCTGATGGCTACATTAACCTCCCAGCTTGGTTATTGACACGATCCACCCCAGGGGCTTCTGTGGTTTGGAGATACCACTATCAACATTGTTGCCGTCACAGACAGAATGCATCTTCACTGCAGCAATCACTTACAAAACCCAATACACCTTTCAGAGTTTCATACTAATAAAAATAATCGCAGAATAATCGCAATCAGCTTGGTCACCTGGAAATGTAATTTATACAGCAGTGCCCTCGGACTGTGTGCTGGAGAGTACTTAGCTATCGCCTCAGAGGATTAGATCTGGTTAGATTAAATAAGAACTGTAGTCTGTAGTAGAACTTTGGCAATAAGGTCTTCCTTTGGAAAAGAAAGCTTGCATCCGGAACGTTACGAACAGAAAGATGGAGAGTATTTCTCACGGGGGTGGTTTCTGCCGTGAGCTGGGCTCCTCTGTCTGTGTGTCTGTCCGTCCTTCAGCGCTAGAAGTCATAGGGCGACACGAGAAGGGTGACCTTGGTGACGTAGCGGCCGAGCACGGTCCCCCTCTCCAGCTCGGTCATCTCCATCTCCGCGTCCAGCGTGGCAGGGCCCTTCACCGGGCTGACCAGGAGCAGCTGGCCCGTGCGCCGGTCGGAGCGCTGGACGGTGAAGTGGCGGCGCCCCCTGCCTCCCAGCAGCCCGAAGCGCAGGCTGTCCCCCAGCACCCGCGCCGCCGACACCCGGAACAGCACTCGCGGCGCCGAGAGGTTGGACACCAGCGGCAGGTAGTGGAAGGACACGGAGCTGGGGGCCTGTGCGCAGGCCTGCTGGTCCACAGGGCAGGGACTGCGCTCACAGCGCCTGCAGGGACACAGCAGACGAGGGGGGACCTCATGACAACACCGCCCGGGCGCCCTCTGACATCCTCTCAGCGTGTCACATGTGTGTCTAATCTTTTTTGTGTGTTTTGTGTATTTTTAATATTGTCGAGAGCAGCGCAGTGCTCAGCGTTGGCCCTGGTTCAATCTGTGTGGAGTTTGTATATTTCCTCCCACAGTCCACAGACGTGCTGGCGGGATAATTGGCTCGTGGGACCACTGGCCCTGGTGCGAGTGTGTGTGCCTGTGTCTGAGGGCGGCCCATCCAGGGCGTACCCCGCTCCCCCGCGCCCCTGATGGACACAGTGGTCAGAAGAGGGATGGACTGGCAGCCCCAGGCGCTCGGTGTGCTTCAGTCTCAGGGCTGCCGGTGCTGCTGCTGCTCGGGGAGAGAGGCGGCGGGAAGGGCACTCACAGGGGGGACGTCTTGACGTAGGTGGCGTTGCTCTTCGGGCGGGGGCACTCGGGGCGCACACACTGGAAGCCCCCGTACGTGTTGACACACACGTCCTCGCGGGTGCAGTTGTGCTGGCGGCTGGCACACTCGTCCACATCTGCACACGTACGCGGGCAGCGGGGGAGACAGCCGCGTTAGAAAGGACAGGCGGCGGGACGGGGCGGGCGCGTGTTTCGTGCGCGGCGTGACCTGCTGACCTCTGCAGCGGCGCTGGTCGGGAGCGAGGGCGTAGCCGGCGGGACAGGCGCAGCGGTAGGAGCCGGCGGTGTTGACGCAGGCGTGCACACAGAGCCGCCCCGTCCTCCCGGAGCGGAACAGCTCGCACTCGTCGATGTCTGAAACACACATACTGACACTCGCGCGTCCACAGCGGTCAGGCGGCCACCCTGAGCCACGGAGCCTCCCGCGCCAGGCCGACTGCGTCTCTGGCCAGGGTTCCACACGCGCCTCCCTGAGCTTCACGTGAGACGGCGATTCTGCACTTCCCTGCACTTTCAGCCACGTAGAGAAACCGCAATGGCTCCGCTGCGCTGTCCTGGGAATGGGCACTACAGTGGTGGATGTAGTGAGTCCAGGGGCATGAATGTGATTCCCCCTGCATACGAGCAGGAAGTCTTCCTGACTTCACCAGCTGCAGGTTTTGTTTGCAAGCACAACACCAAATCAGAGTGCACCATGCTTAGGCAAAAGTGACTTTTATGCAACAGCCAATAAACCTGGACCTGACTCAGCCACTGGGTGCTGGCAGACGTATTTCCAACCCTACCTGCACAAAGAGCGAGGATACCAGTCAGCATTAAGGTGCCGTGTGTGTGCAGAGGTCGGTCCGGTCGAGGCTGAGCTCTTGCTCACCCGTGCAGAGGCTGCTGTCGCGGCCGGAGAGGGTGAAGCCGGCCTCGCAGGTGCAGTGCGTGGAGCCCTGGAGCTGGGTGCAGCGGGACGGCCGGCTGGAGGCCGAGGAGGAGTTGGTCAGGACGCTCCAGTCTGCGGGGAGAGAAGACATGGCCAGCAGGGCCACAGGCAACGTCTCCGTGCTCATGCAGTCATATCGGTGCTCGTGGGTTCGGAGGAAGAAGAGATTTCAATGCTTTCTGATCACTTTGGGTTATTTTACTAACATCGTTACATTGTGCATCCTAAGCTAACTGCTAAAACCTGGCACCTGTTTGTCAGGTTCATTTACCCTTTCTCTTAACATGCCTGTCTGCAGAATAAAAATGCTACAGTCAAGGACATCAAAGCCAGCACAGCAGTGTTCAGCAAGAAAAAACAGGCTGAATGTTTCGAAGTTACTACTGAAGATGAATATAACTTTCTGTTGCTTGATTTCAGTGTGGCAGACTTGTTTCCTGTTCTTGCTGGGTCTCAGAAGCTAAGCAGGACAGGGCCTGGACAGTACTTGGTGAAAGAGCACTTCAGGAAAGCACATGTTGCTGGTTGGAGGACCAGTAGGTGGTGCTCCTCCCCCAGCACAAGGGTTCCAAACCAGTGCCCCTTGTTCTGTCCAGGGACACTGTGGAGGAGGGGGTGACGTGCTTCAGATCAGATTTAAACAGAGGTGGTGATTGCTGGGTCACTAAAGATCACATGGCAGAAGAGCTCAGGGCCCCAGCAGGGCAACGCTAACCACTGCACCACTGTGCCACTAAAAAACATTCTAGTTTTTCTATTAAAAAAATTACACAATAATTCATTCAGGTTTTAGTTTGTTCCAGGAGCTGTCTTCAGCAAACAGACATTTTAATGGCGAAGGCCAGAGCGTGTGCCAATTGCATAAGTGCTGGCCACCTGTCTGTCTGCTCACTGACCTCTGGTGTCCTGCATGTGCCCCGCTGTACTTACAGGTCAGTGATGGGGTCTGGCAGTTGGCGCCAGTCCAGCCTTTGGGACACATGCAGATGTACTGGTTGACCTCATCCACACAGGTTCCTCCATTCAGACAGGGAGTTTGAGCACATTCATTTATATCTAAACAGAACAAAAGGGTTTTGAGCTCCCACTGAGACCAGAGGACAAAGGGATTTGCGCATTGGTGATTTCAGTGACCTTGATAAGTTTATAGACTGTCAGCCATCTAATGGTCTAAAGTAACATTAAGAATAAGACAGAATATCGACATCACACTGAGAAAAATGCTTACATGCTCAGGAGGGTTTTGTCCTCTGCCTAATGACTTCCTTTCTATTTTGTTTTGGTTCCATATATGGTAATCACAGTCTAGACAAGCTTACTTGGGGAATGGGTCTTATGAGATTATACAGCACTTCCAGCATGTTCATGGCTCTTAGGTCAGAAGACGTTTAAAGTGAGAAAAGTAAAGAGTTTCAGGGGCAGTTAGGTTGAGGGTTTGACACAGAACCTAAACCTTTTACACAAAGCCCAGCTGGAAAAGAGAGTGGAATTAAATAAACGACACTGTGACATTTAACAGGATCAACGCAAAGGAGACGGAGGGGACAGTCCTGGGACTCACTTGTGCAGGAGGGCTGCTGGCCACTCCAGCTCAGGGACTCCTGGCACACCCTGGTCTCCGAGCCCACCAGCTCGAACCCCGGCTCGCACAGGAAGTGCACCTCGTGCCCCACGGCCATCGCCTTCCCCAGTTTCCTGCCGTTGGCGGGTGTGTCCAGTGTGGGACAAGTCCCTGCGGGGGGGAAGACACGGGTCCCAGGACAGCTGGCTACATCCACAGCAGGCGGTGATGAAGTGGAGCAGGAGGCTCATAGCGCTGAGTGAAGGAGCACCACCAGCCCAGTATATACTGCATCTACACACCCAGCTGTCACCGCACTGGCCAGTGCTGGTCTTCAAGAAATCAAAAACTAAACCCAGAAAATGTTTTACATCGGATTTGAGAACTTCAAGACTTTTATAAAATGCTTTAAAAAGGGCATCCTGTCTTTTGCTCCCAACAGTGCATTCATTCATGACCCAATCTGATAAGTTTCAGAAAAGACTCTTCCTGTGACCTCCCCTCTCTCGTTGCTAATTATCGTGATTGATGGTGGCCGTCTTCATGGTGCTGTTAGAGTTTTAGTGTAAGATGACATTTCCTCCAGAACTAATGGTACCGTTTTCTTCTAAAAAGAGAGAAGCTAGCAGCAGATTTCAATACAATAATGAGTTGGCAATTAGACCCTGTCTGAGTTCAATCTAGAAGGGCTTTTGTGTCTTCTAGGACAATTTGGATGGAGAGAGAAAACATGTTTTGTGTAATAGTTGTGTTTGTATCCCCTGTTCCAGCTGAGATGCAGTTAAACACAAGGCAGCCTCTCATTACTCTGCCCTGCCCCACTCTCAGATAGCACTGGGGACTTACCATTGCTCCTGCTGGCCAGCCTGAGTGCCGCGCCCTGCAGGAGGCTGAGTTTCTTCCTCAGCGTGCGCAGGCTCTGCAGATAGGAAGCCTCATGGGCAGACAGCAGCTTGTGAGCCTGCCGCAGGGAGCTCATCAGGTCCTGCCTGCTGGGACAGTCCTGCAGGAGGAGCACAAACACAGCCTGGGCACGGGGCTGCTTCAGGAGGCTCAGGGATGGCCAGCAGTTTTGTGGCGGGCTACGTACTGTACTACTGTTCTTCGTGGAAGAAGGGAAAGTGAGCCTGGTGGTAATGTGGGCAGGACTCACAAGCCCTGGCCTGTGTCTACCTCCATCTTCCTCCTCACATCAAGCAAAGGTCTGTACCCCACGGGACAGTTACTCCTGTCTTACCCTGTATGTGTTTTTTCTTCAGGGGTGTGCATTATAATGGATGTCCCCTGGCAGTTGGTGAACAGTTCTTTCATAAAGATGGACGTAGCAATTCTATAAATGATCATTTTTTCACATTATTATTTTTTTCCCCTTAGCCACAGATTGTTACAGGTTCACATTATCAACCATCCAGTTTCTAACCACCTTATCCAGTACCGGGTCACTGGGGAGCCAAAGCCTATCCCAGCAAGCAACAGGCACAAAGCAGGATACAGCCCAGATGGGACGCCAGTCCATCACAGGGCACACAGACACAAACAGAGGCCCACTCACACTAGGGCCAGTTCTACAGAAGCCCATTAACTTACCAGCATGTCTTGGGACTGTGGGAGGAAACTGGAGCGCCCAGAGGAGACCCACATGGGCATAGGGTGAACATACACCCTAACCCTAACTCCACCAGATAGCACCCCAAGTATTGAGCCCAGGACCACAGTGCCGTGAGGCAGCAAAGCTGTCCTCTGGGCCACCATGCCACCCTTTGATGATCATTTCCATGAAAATATGTGATTTTAAACATTTTTTAGGATATTTCTTAAGGATCCACCCCAGCTGGAATTGTCATTTTTGTCTTTCCACAAGGACTCACCAGTACTCACACAGCCCGCTGCTCACCCACCATTGAGCCCTTCGTCTGCAGACCCACTGCGAGCTCTGCAGCGACATGCAGGGGCTCAGCACTGATTGGAGGAGACGCCTGTCCGTTACTGATGTCACCAGCAGTCAGCAGGCAGCCTGGAATCTGTGCATCTGTGCATTTGGCTGCAAACTGAGAGAGCTGACTGATCCTAACTATCCTGTTTGTTCTTCAAATTCAGTCAGAATGAAGTGACCCTTGAAAACACCTCTGTCATTCAGATGCACTTTACTGCACATTTACATCGCTGTAATGTGAAGTGCGTTTAAAGTAGCCTATTTTCCACCACTAGATTCCCACAAGACGTGCCGATT